CAAGCCAACGGGGATTGGAGGGTCAAAGAAAAGAAAATGAAGGTTTATTATCAAACCCTGGACATTTTGATTCCAAGGTTTGAAAAATTGACATTCACACATCTGGTAAGAGAGAACAACCGGTTTGCTGATGCGCTAGCAACTTTATCTTCCATGGTAGACATACCGCTTTGGATTAAAATGCGTCCGATCATCATTGAACAGAAGTATACGCTTGCTTATGAGATAATAGCCGCAATAGATAAGGTTCAAGACAAGAACACATTTGGAACGTCCTGGAGAAGGACATGTATCCACCAGGGGCAAATGCCAAAGATAAACGAGGAATACAGTGTCTGGCCATTTAGTTTATCATCTACGGAAACAAGTTATACAAGATAGGCCATCTGGGAATGCACAAGCTCTGCGTCGAAGAAGAAGAGTCCAAACGTCTCATGGAGGCCATCCATAGAGGAGAGTGTGGAGCACACAAGAATAGTGTGATGCTGGCTAGGAAGATCCTCAGACAAGGCTATTATTGGTCAACTATGGAGGAGGATTGTATTAACTTTGTTCAGAGATACCACAAATGTCAAATTTATGCCAATCGTGTGAACATTCTGCCGTCGAAGCTTTACAACATGACTTCGCCATGGCCTTTCTCAGTCTGGGGAATTGGCATCATTGGAGCAGTCTCACCAAAGGGTTTGAATGGACATGAGTTCGTCTTGGTGGCGATTAACTATTTTACTAAGTGGGTAGAAGCACAGTCTTATTCTGTGTTAAAGGCGTCACATGTGGCCAAATTTTTCAAGAACAATATCATCTGTAGGTATGGAGTACCAAATGAGATTATCTGGGACAATGGCTCACACTTCAAAAAGAGGTGGGGGAATTGCTCGAGAAATTCAACGTGGCTTTTTACAAGTCATCAACATATAGACACAAACCAACAGAGCTGTTGAGGCCGCAAACAAAAATGTCAAGAACATCCTACGAAAGATGGTGGAAACTTACAAGGACTGGCCAGATAAACTGCCATTTGCACTTTAGGGATATAGAATGCCGATTCAAACCTCCACAGGGGCAACCCCCTACTCTCTAGTGTATGAGATGGAAGCTATTATGCCGATTGAGATTGAAGTATCATCTCTGTGAATTATGGCTGAGTGTTAGACAACAGAGGCGGATTGGCAGCAAAACAGATTCGAGGAATTGATGTTGTTTGATGAGAGAAGGCTGAAGGCGTTATAACATGTCCAAGGATATCAGCGCAGAATTGCCAGGGCCTTAAACAAGAAAGTCAAATCCAGAAATCTCAAGGAAGGAGATATGGTGCTCAAAGACAACCGAGCTCCCATTCATGACCCTAAGGGCAAGTTTAGACCCAATTGGATTGGTCCTTACATCATCAATTCTATCAAATCAGAGGAGTGATTATCCTTATGGATTTGGATGGTTTGGAGTTCTCACAACCGATCAATATGGACAAGTTGAGGAAATACTATCCTTGAGAGGCTTGCTAGGTTAAAAACCCGAAAAGGAGACCTACGCAAAAGTTAAAGCATGAAAAATTGGAAATAAAGAAGAATAGAGCTTACAAAGTTTGAAAACCCGAATGGGTAGCTTTGGAAAAAGTTAGAGCGCAAAAGAAGAGAGTTAATACTCGAGCGAACCTCAACCAAACCACGTAAGGCCTGATTCCCATCTTTGGGATACATAGGCAACTTCATCCAAAGTTCGTCTACAACTATCCCCAACTCAACTGTCCTATCCATTTGTTGATCGGTTCATCTTTTTCTATCATCTGTTAGTTTGGTTGTGTTCCCTCCATTTGGCAAAAAGGCCAATTGTAAGATAAAGCAGTAATGGTGAATACAATTATGGACAGCTATGATCTTGTGATTCGGGGTTGTACGTCTTGAGGGTTGATTCCATGTGTGTTAAGTAGTGACCGTTTCTGAAAATTATTTTTGAAAAGTTTTAATGAGTTGATTGTTTCAAAATTTTACCTTTTACAATGCAAACCATTATTTGGACCAAAAATGAAAGTTTCCAGTACTTACAAATGCATTCTCCAACTCTCTGATTAAATCAAAGTTGCTATTACATCACAAAACTAGAAAAGAAAAGTCAAAATAATAAACTAGGGACACAGATAAGTTATGTGCCGGTCCTATGCCTCCTCCTCGCACTCGCAGAAGTCTCCGCAGCCAAAGATGGCCCAACCTGTGTCTCATTCTTGAGCCAAGCTAAGCACTCGCCAGAAAGGGCATAACTAGAGCTAGTGACAGGGGTTATATAAGCTCTCTCGTCCTCCAAGCAACGAGGTATCGAGCCAAGTGTGAAGCATGAATTGGAAATGGAGTAGGGTATTCCACCCCATCATCTGGGCGGGTCCAATCATGTTTAAACTGACGTCTAAACCAGAATGAAAAATAGAATTCACAGTGTGTGAGGCCAATCAACTGTATACCCGGATGTCGGGACATGCTGTAGCTCATCTCAGTTAGGTTAAGCCAGGGGCAATGCCAAGCAATGTCATCCGCAGATCTGCTATACATCCAGTCGCACCATAATCCTTTTGTGGGAAAGTCCACTAGCCGTGGGCGAAAGAAGTAAGATCTAGCTAAATACTCGGGGCAAGGGTCCACGACCTTCAGCTTATCCATCAGCCACACTTGGGAAGGAATGAAAAATAAGAGAGATTAAAGAATAGAGAGATGTATGTTAAGAGGAAAAAGTAAGGAAAGGTTTTTTTGAGAGAAAATAGAGAGTGAGTGCCAAGTGATGTGAGGAATTATAATAAGAAAGAGTGGGAAACAATAGTTGGAGAAGTAGTGGACTCCTTGCAAATTGAGTCGTCTCACGTCGATGGAAAGCATCTAAACCCATCAGAGTCTCGGCCAATGCCAAACCTATGCAGCTCTTACCCTCCTTGAGACATTAAGCCACTTCGATCAATCTAATACTAGCTCCGTTGCGACTAGGGTCAAGAAGGAAGTGTGCAAGTAAACATAAGCAGAGGGCATGTTGACTATAACCTCGCTAGAGAAGGTTACCTCTATCTTCAATGTTGAAAAATCGATGAATCAAGCAGGGTATATCTAATTTCTTGTTATGAGCTAAGGACCAAGCCTCATGTAAAGTAAGGCCACACATCCATTCAAAAGCTCGTGCATGGCCAAAACGGGGTTAAGGCATGATCTCCTCATCACGTTGGGACTTCATTAACGCTTGAAACTCTTCAAGAGTAGGACACATTTCTTGTGCTCCGAAGCGAAACATGTGTGTAATCAGGTTCCAACACCAAACCGCAACATGAAGGAACGGAAAACAAAGCAAAGTATGGCTTAATGGAAAAAATGCGTTTATGCCGAAACTGCAAAAAATTTACCTTTTCTGTGCCATCGAAAGTGGCCATCCAATCCTTGAGCCTCTCGGCAAGAAATATCTCTATCTTTAAGAAAAATTGCAGAAAAGATGGTGTTCTATCGAAGGAATGAGCAAGAGAAGACTTCTATAGAGGATAAGGTTGTGTGAGTGGCTGATAGTTGTTGCTAGTTGTCCAGCTACATGCCTTGGTTGGCCAGCCGGCCACATTTCTTAGTCGGCCGTCCATTTAAGTGGCCGGCTGACCAAGTCTGTTGGCCAGGCAGTTGGTAGCAGTGTTATGTTGGGTTGCTCTTTGTTCTTGAGTCTTGTTTTGAGTCTTTTGGTTTTAGCAAGTGTTATTAGTTGGGTTTAGATTGTTTTTACTTTGTTTTTCGTTTATTGAGTAGTATTTTGCATTTTCGTAAGTTGAAAGCTCAATATCCGATTACGAACATTAGTCAAAATACAAGCATTTTTAGTTTCAAGTTTAGTTCCAATTTTATGCAAGTGTGGTGCCATGCTTGAGATGGTTTGCAAAATAAAACTCCTTTTATAAAACTGCAGGGTTTTATCCTAATCATAGTTTTTATAAAAGAGAAAATACAAGCGTTTAAATATAAAGGTAAAGTCCTATCTGAAGCTATACAAGTGTTAAACTACCAATACAAAAGAAAACGAGCAAAAGAATATAAAATCATAATCAGACTTGAAAGGCCCTCTTCGTCCTCTTTCGCGGAGGGGACTTAGGGGTACTATCTCCGTCATCTCCGCTATCGTCAGAGGAGTGAGACTCTGTGTAACAACCCCATCACGTATAATGATTAGTACTTGATTAATTAAGAGGATTTGAAATTTAATTACCGACTATTATAATTTAACTTGGGATTTATGAGAATTATGGGATATGACTCGTATATGATTCTATTAAAGATTTATTTTGGAATTAGGAATTAAGGATCCAAATGGCTTGAGGAAGTGATGTTATGAAGTTGAGTCAATTTAATCTTAATTACGGACCCATTTGAGAGTTTAATTAAATATTCGATTCAGTTTAGTAAAATTGGGATTTGATTAATTAGGTCCTAATTAGAGTTGATTAAGCCATGAGAATTGAGAATTGTGGTTATTATAAATTTAATTTATTTATGGGGTGTCCTATTTGAATATGTAATTTAATTGACGGAAACCTGGAGTCTGATCAGAAATTGAAGACCCAAATGATTTAAGAAATCAAAATTGAGGATGAAAATAAGTTTAATTTAATATTTGGAACCTTTTAAGAGTTCGATTAAAAATCTAATTCAGATTGATAAATTTAATTATATTTAATTGGGTTCTAATGGAAGTCAATTTGACTAATTCAATTATATGGGATTTGAGGTTAGTTAATTAACTAATTTTATGCTAATCAAAATTTATTAAGATTAAATAATGCTTAACTAAATTAATCCTAGCCATAAAGTAAAATTGAAAGAAACCAGAATTTTGTGGGTGTGCAGAGAAACCTGTGTGGGTGTGCAGAGAAACCAAATATGTGTATATTGTTGTTGTGCTGGCAGCATTGGATCTGTGCACGTGTGTAGTGTGGTGCCTCAAAAGAAGTTGTGTGTGTGTGTAATACATGTGCAGGGAAGTTAGATTCAAACATATAGAAAAGAGAAAAGAGAGAACCAAAGAGAGAGAGAGCTTCATTGTTTTTGCATGCAATGTAATTAATCTGCTGGTGCAAAACCGAGAGAGAGAAAGGAGATAAAGGGGAAAGGGGGCTGAAGTCATGGTTATGCTGGAGAGGCCTTGGAGATGTGAACCCAAGACAACTAAGTGAGGAAAAGTGAGGAAGCTCAAAAAGGTTGTGAAGGAATTCATCAAATTGAAAGTTTTGGGTAAGAAATTAAAACTCAATCTTGTAAATAAATTACCTACATGCTGAAATTAAGAGCTACATGGGTTCAATTTCATATAATTAAAAGGAAATTAGCAAGAAGATGATGAAATTAAATTAGATTCTTGATTATGGAAATAAATTTACAAATTAATTAGTTTAGAGTTTGATTTCTATTATTCTTCACAAATTGAAACTCATCCTTGCATGCATGTTGGAATTTCAAGGTTGTAGATTTAAATCATGTGTAAAAGATTGATAAGTTTAAATTTGGGATATAAAGGAAAATGGAATTAAGTTTATGAGCATGAAATTGATTTAGAAATTCATCCTTTGAGAATAATTTTAATTATCTTTGATGAATTTGAGCTCTAATTTTACATGCATCACTATTTTCCAAAGGTTTGACACTTCAACTTCTTTTAATTAGAAAGAAATTACCAACAAAATTAAGGTAAGTTCATGTTTATGGAAATTAGTTATTTTGAATTTGATTTTTATAACCTTGCATGAAATTAAATTCCATTGTTACATGCATGAAGGAATTCTATGAATGTTGAGCCCATATTTTCATGTATCTTGGATTTTGAAGAAATTGAGCCGTTCAAATTCATGTTTTGAGGAATTTAAGGTAAACAATTTCATGTTTTTTAGAGAAGAAGGAAGAAATTTCATAAGAAAAATCAAGTTTATGGAAAATTAAACATTGATGTAATTTTGAATATAGAAAATTAATTAGTTTTAATCTTAACGTCATACATGCAAATATTTCCCTAAGAGTCTTATAACTTCAATTTCATGTACATTAAAAGAAATTAGTAAAATGGTGTAGGAGTTGAATTAGATTCAAAATTATAGAAGTTAAATTGAAAATAACCATTTTGGGTTTAAATTTATTTGTCTTATATGAAATTGAGTTTTAATCACACATGCATCATGTAATTTCAAGAATCGGAAAGCCTAACTTGTATTTTAGAATTGTGGGTTGATATTGATAAGATGAATTAAAACTAAATTTGGGCAATTAGAACATGATTTTGAATGAATGTTTTCTAATTGAAAGTGTTTACTAAATCATACAATGATTCTCCATTTTTGTGTACCAAAAATACATGTTTTGAGGCTTTGAATATCAAATTTGAACTTCATTTGCAATTCTGGAATTTTCATAATTTACGCTGTCCGCTCGAGCGAGGAAAGTCTCGCTCGAGCATGAAAATCGAACTCTCAGAAGCTTTTCAATTTTACAGTCCGCTCGAGCAGCAAAAGTGGAGTTCGAGCGGAGACCTATTTTCAGCATATTTTGGAAAATTGCATTTAGTTCACATTTTTATTCTCATCTCTTTCCAAGGCATTCTAGACATGATTTATGACTCAATGAAGATTAATAAGCTACCAATCAACATGGATTAGTTAGTTGAATAATGAATCATTGATCTAGTGGTAGTTGTTTAAGAAGCCAAGTAAAAGATCAATCTATTTGGAAAAGAAGGACTTAGTAATGAAAGAATATGTGAAATAAGAACCCGGTTTATTTAAATGAGAAAGAATAAGCGTAGTAGAATTCAGACTATTTAGACAGAAAAAGTCAAGTTTGGTCAAGGAAGTAATATTGTATTTCAATGTGTATATGTTATGTGCTTGTGTAGGTCACGTGCCATTGTCTGCCTGATTTATCTGATATGTCCAGTTCGTCTGATTTGCTTCTGCGGCTATCTGTGAGTAGTAACTTTGTAAAGTTATGTTCAATGTTATGTATTTTCGGAATATTATGATACAAAATGATTGATTCTTGGAAATGCTATGATATGTTTGAAACGAATGAATGATTGTCCAAGATTCTGAAAGTTAACCGTGGCATCCTTAGCATCACATGATATGCGTCCCTTTATGGGTCATCAGGTCCCTTTATGGGTCATCAGAACGTCTCTGTGCACATGAGTCATCAGAATGCCTTCAGGGTTGTCCCTTATGGGTCATCAGGTCCCTTCATGGGTCATCAGGTCCCTTTATGGGTCATCAGATATGCTAACGCTATTGGATGTACCACATATGCTTATGTGAAAAACCTGAATATAGAAATGATTATGAATATGTATATGAATCTGTTTCTGATTTGGAATCTGAATATGCATAAGAATCTGATTTCTGACTCTGTAATGGACATTATTCATTAAAACCCTTTTCTCTGTTATTATTCACTGGGCTCTAGCTCACTGTATTATTTATGTATGTAGGTGATCAGGCGCATGACCAGTCTTAGAGGCATCTGCCTAGAATCTGTTTTGTCAGCCAACCCATGTGCCTCCCGTGGAGGTTCCGGATATGTCAAGTGATTGTCGCTAAGTGTCATAAAGTTTAAGTTCTGTTTTCTTGTTTGGTTAATCAAGTCTGGTGTATTTTTGTAAATAGGGCTAAGTCCCTTTTTGTCAAATCTGTATATATAGGATGACTTAAAGTTGATGTGTATATATGTATATAAATAGTTTAAAATTTTTCTATCTCATATAAGTCTGCACAGCTCAACGGACGTTGTATGTTGTTATTTGCTTCCGCTAGCCCCTAATATTATGTTAATCTGTCTCAGAGGCCTTTGGTAATCCCAGGATTACTGGCTGGTTACGATACTAAACCTATAGGGGCGGGTTTGGGTCGTGACACTCTGACTCGTCATCATCCTCGCCACTCATTGACCTAGAGCTAGTCTCGGTATCTTCTCCGCTCCCCGATCCATAGCCAGCCTCGTTATTCTCGCTCACAGGCTCGAAGTGCCCGCTCACTGTCTCCTCAATATTGTTAGTCTTGGAGATGCCTCCGCTCGAAATCAGCTCTAAGGAGAAGGAAGTCTTTTCTGCACAAACTCTTCGCTCTAGCCTCGGGCGCCCCTGCCCCTGCCTTGGCCTCTACTTTCACCCCTATCGTGCGCCGGGGCCTGTCTATCTCTCCTCCAGCAGCCGGAGGGGGTGTCGCCGGTGCTGTTGGTGCCGTAGGTGCTGGTGGAGCCTGAAAACAAGAAACAAAGGATTAGTATAGTATCAGGGTAGAATCAGTATGAGTATGGGCAAATCAAAACATCAGTATAGATTCAGCATGAGTATGGAAAATCAGTACAGTGTGGTGCAGAATAGTATGAGTATGATAAAATGAAAACTAGAGTGGTCAGATGGATGAGAAAGGTAGAATACCTGGTAACTGTGGAGAGTCAGTAATGTCTGCCTCCCTCGTACCATCTAAACCAGAGAGGTGACCAACTCGAGGAGGTCGTCTACGTACTTCAAAGGCACCTGCAAGTGAGTTTGAACATTAGTATACAGAAAAAGAAAGTATGAAATGTAAACTGCAAAGCAAAGTGCATACTTGCTGCACGTCGGGGTCCCTGACGTACTCGTGCTCCTTCTTTGGTGGCTCGACCGGAATCTGATAGGCTGTCCCACTCGGCCGCTAGCATGGGATCACAGTCAAAATCACTGGTAGACCAGCTACGTGCACAGTAAGAAAAACTCCACTAGCATCAGCCTCGGCCTCACGAGCAGTACCTCCCGCATGAGCTCTGGATAAGAGCAGCATGAGATGGGTTTGAATGAAGGCCGTATAGTCTCCAACTACTCGAAATAGGTCAGCATCCTATCCTGCCATATACTACACGATGGCCTCAACTGGGAGACTATTAGCTGTCCACATAGATGGTAGAGGCGGAGCAGGGACAACGGGATCCGACGACCCTAGAGTCTAGGTCACGAATCTCTCTTCGACATGCCAAGTCTTGCAAAAAGGAACCTCCAACAGGATTTGCATCCACAAGGTGTCCCAACAACCAACATAATCATCAATCGTACCAGTCGGAATCACCGCCCATGGCTGTCCTGTAATTTGCAAATAGAGAATGCATAGTTGTTAGTTGCCGTCAGTTGTCAAAGTGTGGATCAAAGCAGTGTGATGGAATGGAATGAGTAAGAGTTTTGGATTACCTCACATGCCTTCACTATGTCAAAGAAGCAGCGGTAGTAGGCGGAGGTGGTATCGTCATGACGCCGGATGGCATCGTCTGTCGTACTGTCAAGAATAGGGCATAACAGCCTCTACCTTGTCCCACGATACAAAGGCAAGGGCAGGAAAGTACACGTACACCCAGAGTTGCAGGGAAAGATTAGTTTGTGAGTCAATAGGCAAAAAAATAGAAATACAGACAGAAAGTGCAAAGTAGAAAGCACAACGTATAAACAAAGATAAAGACAGAAAGTGTAAAGCATAAAATACAATGTACAAACAGAATTTGAAAATAAAAGTGCAGTGTGTACCTCCCAAACTCTCCAGTAGCCCCCAACCTTGTTCCATTTTTTGCGGGAATCGGAGCTCATGTAGCTATAAAGGGTGGCGAGGCCAGCACCACCCCAATCGTAGAACCGGACTCGGGGTAGTACCAGCAAAGCGCTCAACACATACAGGCCTATGGTATTCCACCTATTCATAAACAAGGTGGTGCCGAGGAGGTAGGTCAAGAAGCCTCTGGTGTACTGCCCAACCTCCTTTTGGGTCTCTACGTGGCTTCCGTGGAAGTGTTCATAAAACTAGCTGTATTTGACCATGGTCGACCTGTCTAGAGGAGGGCGTGCGCTGAGCAAGTGAATCCAAGCGGCCTCCCACTAGCTCATGTCAAGGTCGAAAGGGATCTGATCGCCCCCTACTCTCAAGTCGGTAATCATCGAGAAGTCATAGGGAGTCATCGTTATCGTTATCTCGCCTATGGAGGAGAAGTGGAAGGAGTTGGTGGTGTCCTACTATCTTTCCACCAAAGACCTAAGTAAGGCCCAACTAGCCATCAGTCGTGTGAACCTTAAGCAAAATAGGCCAAAGCCTGCCTTGCCGACTAGCTCGTGGACTTGAGCGAGAAGCTCCTAGTACCAGTTCCTCGCATTCACGGCCCCGTATCCTCTCCAGGAGAGAGTGTTGCCCTATGTTGCAAAGAAAAAAAATGTCAAGTGTATAATAGAATGAAAGGCAGTAATGAAATGACAAAACAAGCAAAGTGCATGAAAGTAAAGTTCTTACCTCTGCGGCATCGTGAGAAAGATAAGAGGCTCACTCCCCTCAACAGAAAATCCTCAAGCATCGTCCTGGCAAAGTCCTCAAAGCGCAACATGTCACCGGGGGCCATCGCATGTGCCCGTAGATGGTAAGGGGCCGGGTTGAATGGTGTGACACCTGAGTTTTTTGCTCCGCTCGAGCGAAATGGTTCTCGCTCGAGTCTAGATCTTTAGTTTCTAGTAAATGGCAATTTTGCAGGTGGGCCGCTCGAGCGAATGAGTTCTTGCTCGAGCATAAATTGCATGCTCCCAGTAATTTCACTGTAGCTTTGTAAAACTTCTGGGACATGTTCTTTTCCATTCGAGCGAAGGAAGCTACACTCGAGCGAGATCACTTAGTCGTGTCTAGTGCTTGAGCGAGAAAACTTGCGCTCGAGCAACCTGTCGAGGACAACAGATTTTATAAAGCAATTCCAAGTCACTTCCCTTATACTTTTCATCCTCTCTCTAACTCCCTTTTTTCTCAAAATCCTAGCTCACAAAACCTTAGATTTCTCTAATCTTGGCTCAAGATCCACCTAAGATTCCCCAAGATTAGTTGAAAGAAGAGTAAGATCGACACCTTCACCAATTGTTTCGCTAGATCGTCGAAGTACAAGTGTATATTGCAACCCTAGCATACAAATTCGAGGTAGGGGTGTCTTTAACTCTTTATATCTTCAATTTGGGTGGCTCATGTGGTACTTTCATTAGTTATTCATGTGTGTGTGTATATATATATATATGTATATAAGTATGTGATGATTTGAACTTGTTAACTAAGAGTGAGAACAATAAGGGTGAAAATTTATGATTGTTGTTGAAATTACACTTCTTATGATGGAATACCATTGTCTATGAGTGATAAATGTCTCATTCTCATAAAGGAGAGAAAAACCCCAATTTTTCTCATTTTTCTCAAACCTTAATTTTCAAACTTATTTCATAAAAGGGGTTTTACTCAATTACTTGGTTTTGGGTTAGAAATGCAAGTTTGGGGATTCCCTTTTTATGTTGAACTTGAGATGAGATGATGGGGGAATGCCTAGATTTATGAAAGGAGAAGAGTTGCACTATTGTGGATTGATATCACCTTAGGAAAATTATGCATTATTTTGGTATTACTTTGGTGCCAACGGTTGAAAGTTAAGAACGGTGGTAATTAGCTATGAGTCTGGGTAGTGAGTCAGGTTGGATTTGAGTTGTGTAATGTGATTGTACCTGCACAGGGAGTCAAGGTGTCCAATTGCCTTGTCTACGCATATCGCCGGATGAATGTGGGAAAAGGTTTTGAGGTGTCCACAAGCTCGCCATTTCTGGAGCCGGCAAATGTGGAAAATGGATGATTTTGGGTGTTCACATCCTCGCCGTTTATGGAGCCAGAAAATGTGGAAGGTTGTGATGATTTGGGTGCCCATCGCCTCGCCGTTTTTGGAGTCGGCAAATATGGGATTATTTTCTATATATACAACTGTAATTACCTATGTATGTTTTGATTTTGGGCTCTTACTTGGGGATGCCATGGCTGAGTTACTGCCTGTTGAGAAAGTGGGAAAGATAAGATGTGTTTAATGCAGTGGATCCTATCCATAGCATACTCTTGCATTATTTTACATTCTTTTCTTACATTTCTGTGAATGGCATTGCATGAGCATAAGTTTTTCAAATGATTATATAATTTGTTAAATGCATCACCTACTGAGCTTATGCTCAATCCAAAAACTAACTAAATTGAGGACGAGATACATCTTAAGCAATGATGCCAATAGAGCTAGCATGTTTTATTGAAGATTTCTTGGGGGTGTGGTGATGATAATTGTACTTTTGAAATTGATTTTTGTGTCCTAGTTTTGAGAAGAATGTTGTGATAAGGAAGATGTCCTTGTGGATTAAGTTGTTGACTGCTTATCTATTTTCTTTTGAACTATTTTATTGTTTTGAGGAATGTAATGGAACAATTATGTAAATTTCGTTTTGGGAATAATTCAAAAGAAAAGAAAGCCATGAGTAAATGGTTATATTATTTTATTTTCCTGGATCTTGTATGTTAATAATGCTTGGAAGTGTAATTGTATGGAACGGGTATGTCAGGGCATCACAATTTGGTATCAGAGCCAACCAAGTTGAATACCTAGAGCTCGTGGGAAGCGGCTTTGCCGCATAGGGCTGTTACGTTAGATGGGGGAAATAGTAGATTGTTTTGTGTGTCTTAAATTGATTTCTTTGATTGTGTGGGTATGGGGTTGAACTCTTGGGATGTGACTTGTATCCATTGCAATCATTGAAATCCTTTTGGAAAGGCACCTGATCAATGCTTTTTCCACTAGGAAATCTTTGAGTGCCATAGGACTAGTCAGAGTATGGGGGACTGACTCATGTGTGCCCTATGTGTTTATATGAGTATGTAGTGTGCCTTATGTGATTTAAGCAGTTGCCTAATGGT